CCCCAAAACCCCAAAACCCCAACTTGCCAATAATTAATTTTAGTTAAAAAATAAACTTTATCAAGTAATTAATACATTTGAGAAAATTAATTCAATTGCCAATAAACCTGACTGATTTAGAGCCAGTTCTTGAGTTGATGTCCTCGCTAACTTGAACTTGGACATTGCCTTTGAGAGCAGATGGAACTGATTTCTTGGTTGCTAGTTAATTGGATCTTTGCTAGACTCCCCCAATATCTTACACAGATGTATCAAAGCAGTCCTTGAAATTATCACTGTCCATACTCTCATTCTACATTTTGGCATTGTTATTTGAGCTTTGCCTTTTATATTCCTAGTTGTAATATTCTTACTATTAATTTTATTGTTTCTTCTGATTTTTATCATTGTTATTTGATGAAGAAAAGTTTTAGAAGAAACCAAATGAACTTAGAGGATTAGGAATATTAAAGTTGAAATGACTTGATGATATCGCAGAACTAGACTGTTACTTTTACTATGGTTAGTTGATTGACTATTAGTTACCAAAATTAGGGGAAGGCTGGAAATTTTCTTAGTTTTGACAAGACCTTTAAGGATGATCAAGCTAATTTGGATAGACCCCATTCATATTATTATCTCTTTAGAAATTCGGCTAGGGAATACAAGGAAGCATGTTCAATCTTGATTCTTTCTCAGCAATATTAGAGTTTCTTGTGTTGCTCTTGCAATTTATTGGGCTGACAATTCCAAATGGACTCATTATTTATTTTTCATGTGGATTGAGTTAACTTTGAAATGGTTATTGGTTTTAACTCTCATTATCATTGAAATAGATATTATTCTACAAGTTTCTAGCATTAAGGTTATGAGCAGCAGTTATCAGGTTTCCTCCATTTGATAAAGTCCTCTTTTTCAGAATTAGCTCTTAAGAATAGTTAGGGTTTAAGTTTCTAGTAAACTTATTGTCTACAGGAGTTACATCCAAGAACGAGACATTATTACTCTGATTATTATTATTGTAAATGTTGCTGTAATCGAATTATGATTGATTTTGATTTTGAATATTTGCATTCTATTACATTAGCGTAGGTCTATTGTTATTTGTATCTGGCATCGGAGAAATATTAAATTGACTAACACTTCCTCCAGCTCCAATTGATTATCTCATTTAGTCTTACTCAAATATATTCATAAACATTCCAGAAATTCTTCTTCTATTTTCTCCCTAGTTTTAATCCCCTCCATTCTCTTATGACTTATTAGTAACAGGAACCCCAAGTTGCTACTGAGAGTTATTTTATTTTTAAGGCAGTTCAAATTATGATCTAGAATGCTATTAATTTCCTTAATTTTTATTTTGATATTGCAATTAGTTTTATCCTTAATTACCATTATTATTGTTGGTATTACTTTAAAGCATATTTAGCTATTGTATAAGCGAGTTTATATCAACTTATGCAAGATTTCCTTAGAGCAGATTTTATAAATTATTTCTCATCGTGTCCTCACTGAAATTTAATGAATTTTAGTTCTAATTTTGCGGGATCTAGTTAACAGAGGGCATCTCCACTTTAAAATCATTTGGAGGTTTCTTGTAGGATAGATCAAGCTATTAGAAAGAATTATGTGCACTTTTGAATAGATTTGTATCATCTATTCCACCTTTTGATTCCTCAGCTTGCTAGGATTTTCTATTCTAATTATTCTAGTGATGATTTAATGCTGTTACATTATTCAAAGATTTACTAATTGTAATTGAATTACTGCTAAAACCTTCCTAGCTTGTCTCACCAATGACCTCAAGATGTTGCCCTTTTGGTATTTGATTATATTTCTGAATGATCTGATTCTTTGATTGGGCATCTTATTATGATGTGTAAGGCAGGTTCTATATTTGGCAATTAATATCACTGATATCTCCAGATCTAATTTTACTTTATTATTTATCCTGTGATTACTATGATATAGTAATATTCTTTTAAATATCGATGTTGGAGACAGAAAAATTGAAATTTGAGCAAGAGTCTTGATCCGAGATAATATGTGAAAATCCATCTACTAAGTGAGTTTACATTTTTGAAATCCAACTTAGAGGCTTAGATTCCAGCTCTTTAAGAGTTTATTCAGCTATATTCATATCAATAGCTTCAGGTCTGATCATCCTCAAATATTCAATACCATCTTGATATTCTTAAACTTTTTCATGACAACTTTCAATTTCCTTCTTTATTCTTCTTTTCTTTGAAGAACTTGAAGCATTAGAATCTAGAGACTCATTCAAATTATCATAAATTTCTTCGAGCTTCCTCTTCTTTTTATTTTAGACAACATCTTTGAACTATAGCTCTCCTATTTTTATGATTACATCTCTCTCAGTTCTCCTTTGCATCCTCTCAGAAAATTCCCTATACTTTTATATTAATTGTGAGGTGAATTTTTCATTTAGTTTCTTTTCTATCGCACTTATGTAAATTTACTAAGTTTTCTTGAACTCTCTCTGATACTTTTCATAAAAATAGGCTAGTTATATGTAGACTTTAGCATCATCATGCCCTATTTTATTCTGAATCATATACTCAATAACTTTGTCTGAGTCTCTAACCATTACTGAGTAATCTAGCCAAATTTGCTAGTAGGCTTTCTTAAATGAGGGATCTTGCGATTTATCATACCACTACTGAAAAGTTGCATTTTTGGTAAACTATTCGCACTCACTCTAGAGTTCCTCTTGTTTTGAAGAATCTCGTTGTAGGATAAGAAGCTTTCTATGTATAGATAAAAGAAATAAGAATATACTGGATTTCTGAGGTTATCTATTGATTGATTTGCTGATCATTTTAATTATCTCCATCTCCATTGCGCACATCGCATTCTGTTTTCTAAGCATCATTTTAAGTTCTAAACAATAATGATTAGTCAATTTATTTCTTCTAATTTGTCTTTATTTACTCAGGTTTTTAGGGAAAAAGAAAAGAAGGGACGGCTTGCTTTAAAATATGTGAAGCTCCTAGATTTGTCTAATCTTCAGAGTTTTGTGAGTTTGCTTTCTACTCCTCTTAGTTCATATTAAATTAATTAATTAGAATTTTAAAATTTAAATTCAAAAATACAAACAGATACATAACCTAAAGTTAAATGGAATACTAAATGATTTAGTAAGACTCAATAGAGGAATTGTAATTTTATGACAAGGAATAATAGAATTACATTAATAACAGACCCTCTGGGCAACCAATAGACATAAACTAAAAGCTCAAAGAACTCATTAAACTTGATCATAAAAATAATGATGATGATGAGGAAGATTCACCGGAGATAAGTGAGGGAAATGCCTTTCATATGGCAGAAGTTGGTGATTATTAGAATGCTCAAGAGGGTGATGGCAGTAAGACTACTTACGAGTCTTGTTCATCAGAAAATAGTGATGCTTCAAATAGTTAAAAGTAATTACTTGTTTCTTAAATGTCTTAGTGATGAATCTCAAGACTCATTGGTTTAGAATTACAACAAACAGAGATCTTAGGTCAATCAAAAAAGTTAGATTAATCATCAGGTATAAGACTATGTTTCTCCCTTTTAGATTCAAGAAATGCCTTTTTAATACAAAACTCTAAAGCTTAATCATCTTTAAGAGGCTAGACTTATCCAGTTTGAAGAATACGATCCAATAAATAATAGTAATAGACAAGACGGTTAGCTGACAGGAGAGAGACTCATAAGCATTAATTCTAACTCAAATAAAATGAGTTTAAGTAAAACTTTCAACTTTCAAATGGCATTTAACTCTTATAATGATAAGCAATCAATAAGTCAAGACTCACTTTAAGAATCCTCTTAACATGAATTACAAGATTCAAGTATAGAAAAAGACAAACTTCATAATGAGTTGACAATGAGAGTAGATGAAAAAATTAGGATGATAGCGGAAGAATACAATCATTTGGCTCAAACTTAGGGCTTCAATGAACTTTCTAATTCTTAATCATTCTCTCAAGACACTCATTAAGCTAATCAGACTAACAGTGCCAGAGACTCTTAACCCATATTCAAATAAGTATCTAAAAGGAATCAAAGTCATGAATCTTCTTAAAAGCCATTTCAAAGGTTTACTCTTAACAACAATCTAGTCAATGATTAAGAAAATAATGACCTGAATGCAACTCTAAGCTTTAAGAGAAGTTCATTGCTGTAAAAGCCAAAGCTTCAAGACCGAATGAGTTCAACTTAGAACAGGACTCTTAGTTTCTCGAACCACGTCAAAGATCTAACATTTAGTAAAGTCAATAACAACTCCTTTATAAATCCCCAATATAATAATAACAGAGCAAGAAATTATCAAACAAATAATGAAGCCGCATCATCAGAGTAGTAGAACTCCGAATCATCAAGCAACAAAAATAAGAATAGTTCCTATCCATTTAATGGACTAGCGACTCAAAGCTTTAACAGAACAATGGCTTTTGGCTAAGGTGGATTCAATCTTGGCAGTAAGAGGATCGAAGATTAAGTAGCAGAACTTAAGTATATGCTTGAGAATGTCTAATGTGAAGCTAAGAATTTGAAGTTGCTACTGAATTTAAAAGATGATTAGATTCAGATGTATGATTCTAAGAACCAGGACTTAATCAATGAGAATGAGGAACTGCAATATAAACAAGAAGATTACAAATAGAAAATGGAGGCTTTTGAAGAAGACAATTTATATCTTAAAGCAATTATCAACAGTTAGAATATTGATTAAGTTCAATTGCAAAAGTAGAGCATAGGGCTAAATACTGATGTGATTTCTTAGAGAACTTAAATTTGCTAAGCTACATTTCCATCAGTCAAGTTATAGACAAGCCAGATCAATACTATCGGTCTCTCGCCTATCAAAGAGGAATCACATGAGTCAAAAATAATCAAGGACATGCAAAAGCAGATTGATGAAAACGAGAAAGAAAATAGGCATCTTAAGTAAAGTTTGATTGACTATTCTGATAAGATTAGAAGACTTGAAAAGGAGTATGAAAATGTCCAGAACTAACTATAAATGACAATAAAGGATAATCAAGAGATTAAAAAATCCTATCAATCTGAAAATAAGTCATTGTATTGGCAACTGGAGAATTAAAAGCAGCAGTTTAATGAAAGAGAGCAGAGACTCATGGAAGCACTCAAGGCTTTAGAAGAGTCAAAGCACAATTCAAAAAAGAAATCCAGTAAGATTAAGAGTCTGAAAAAGGAAAGAGACGCTTTAAGGATTGAAATTCTAAAACTTAAATAGATCTACTCTGAAAAATGTGATAACTACAAGGATAATAGGCTGAAACTACAAAAAAAACTCAAGAAAAGAGATGATAATATTCAAAGACTAGAAGACTAACTCAATTAATATGAGAAGCTATATAGAAATTAATACCAGTAATCAAACAGGTTAAATACTCATTAGAACAAAAACAATGAGTGGAATTAGTATTACGGAAATACTGGTAAATTTGGCACTGATGCTGATTAGTCCATTCATATTTTAAAGAGCAGTATATCTTCAAGGTCTCTTGAGAACACAAGAAATCTAAACTCTACTGCTAAAAATGCCTTAAGAGGCATAAACCAGCTCTACCTTAAAGGAGAGGCATCAAAAGATCAATCATAAAATGTAAAGGATATTCTAGTTAATCAAAATAGCAATCAGCCGCTAATCTCATTATCAAGCTCTCCTAAGATGAAGAATCTGACTCCAGGTTCCTTACCCAGTGGCATGGGAATGAATGGCAATAAGAACTATGGTAACTTCCCAGATCAACATTAAAAAGATAAAGTTATGTTGAAACTGAAGAGCCATTATAAAAAACTTGACATTGAGGAAGAGAAGAACTAGATTAGAATGATGAATTAAAATTTCAAATAAAATTACACCAACTAGTAATTGATTCATAAGCAATATCAGTAGTTGAATAACCACTTTACATCTAATGATAAATCAAAGAGCTTCTATAGCTCAGATATTGAGAATAATACTTTGTTTGACTAGAATCACATTGTAATGGAAGACCAATCAAACAGCTCCAATTTCTTCTCTAATGTCAACAACTCAAACAGTCATCTCTTCTTGGATGATTCTGCCCTAATGAATAAGCCATTAGACTCCAATATTCATGGTAATCAGTAAAGATAATAATTACAGGATGCAAGATACCTTATGAAACATGAATCAACTCATCAAATCAAAGGGATGAATGAATATCCACATCCAGGTAGCTATTTCTATCAGTCCAGTATCAAGAATCAGATGCAAGGTCAGTCTACCCCATAATATGGCAAAGCCCTCTTTAATAATAACCTTAAACAAAGTGTAAAGTAGCAACCACAACATCTCTAGACTGCTGGTGATGAAAATGTTATTTTCACTCATAATTTAAGATTTAACAATCTAAACCCATAAATTCAACCTCGAAATTCAAATTACAACCCTGGTATTAATACTGTTCAATCAAAATCTCCCATTTCAAAAAATAATCTCGATACTAAGAGACCAGACTCCAATTCAAACCTTATAATTAGAAATAGATCATCTTAAAATTTATCTCAAGGAGATCTTCATAATAACACTTAGAATTCTATAGCCCAAAACAGAAATGATTCAACCACAAGCTCAAATAGAAATTTGCATCAAATCAAAGACGTCATAAGACCACCCTCGACTTCAAGTACAAATAACACGTCAGCAGTATATCATAATTAAGTTGCCATGATATCATATTAAAGTTCTTCATCTGGAGGGAGTAAATAATATCAAAGCAAGCTGAACAAGCTTTAAAGTTTACATTAATAACAATTTTAACAATTACAACATCACCAATAGCTTTAACAACCAACTAATGCCCCTACTTCGAATAGTAATAATTACTAACCATACTTCCAGAAAAAGAATGCTGCTGCTCAATAAACCTTCTAATTGGGTAATATTTATCCTTAGTACTAACCTAATTCTCTGAATTATGCTAACTTCCCTTCAAGCACATAGAGCACATAAGCTTTCAAGCAAGTAAACACCTCATTTAAAGGAAGCTCCTAGTATCCTCAATCAAATTACAACTAAATTGGCACTACTAATCTTAACACTTCACAGAACACCATAGATGAGAAACAACCTTAATTAATAAACTACGCAACTTCTGCAAACTCCACCTCTCACTACACATAGTAAAATATGGCTCATCATAAGCGTTAAAGGAGCAGGCAAATTGATAATGAAATTGGAAATATAATTGGTGTGGGTTAATATGAGGAGAAGTATACCTAGAATCATAGTCATATTCTCTAAAATAATAGATCTTGATTAATTTGAAGTACCAAAAAATTCGCCTATCACTCTAAACTTAACTTAATTATTCAATTACTAATCAGTTTCAATCTTTCTAATTCTTTGCATATATATAGAGGGGTTTTGGGGTTTTGGGGTTTTGGGG